CTGTTGGGATTAATGAAGCTCACTCAGTACTATGCCACCAACTCCGGATAGGTCTTGCATGTGAATCAGCAACATTTTTTGTCTTAGCCTTTGTTACTTTTTGGAGGAGGGAGGGAGGCTAAAGTTCCAGCACCCTTTATTGTGAAGAAAACACTACAGATGTAACTCACTGATGCTGAGAGCTGGAAGTCTGTCACAGTGATCATAGCTTATTCATAGTCTCCTACAAGCATCCAGGGCAGACTGTTGGGACCCTGGCAACCCACTCCTGTGGGACCCTCTTTTTTCATGGCTGTGGGGGAAGTACCAATTCGTTGCTGCTGATGGCTCTACGCTACCAGAAACTCCCTCTTAGCTGGTTGCCCACAGAGGAATTGGCTTCTTTGCTGAACAGCCAGTGTGATTTCTGAGCCAAGAGAAGCAGGATGGTCTAAGGGGCTAAGCCCAGGATTCCTGCCTTCCAGGCACCAACTCTCTTGGCTTTGGCAAAGCCATTGAGGAGCTCCGCCGTTCCAGTGCCCTTGTCCGCGTGCGATGGGGGGCAAGGACACGCACATGCGGAGGCTTGGGGGGGTCAATGAGAGAATGGCTGTAACCCAGGACCTGAGATCCGCCCTAGCCAAAGGCCTTGCTGGGGAGAGCACCCAGAACTGGGAGCAGGCCGAGGGAGGGGAAGAGGAGACACACTGTGGAGATGGAGATGGAGATTCCCCCCCACTTCCTTTCCCCTCCCCCCCACCTCTGCCCCTCTCCCTGGCTCCGCCCCCTGGGGGGGGTCAGGGGCGGGACCAACAGGCATCTTCCCATTGGCAGCACCCGGTTGTCACTCACGCCTCGCCTGCGCCACTCCGCTCTCACCTCGGAGGCCGGCGAAGAGCCCAACCCCCTGCTCCCCGCCCCCCACGGAGGAAGACGCCGGGGCAGAGATCGCTGGGAGCCCGCGGGGCCTGAGCCGCTTCAGCGGCCTCCTTCCCTGCCCCTCCCCGCCCCCAACGGCCGCCTTGTCAGGGCTGGGCGGGGCTGAGAGGGGAATGCGCATGCGCGAATGGGTCTCACGCTGGGGGCGGGAACGTCCGGCCAGGCCTGGGCGTTAATGCCCATGCGCGAGATGTGTGTCGCTGAGCGTGCGGCTGCGCACGCAGGAGTAGTGAGCATGCGCAACACAACGGGCGGCTGTGTCAAAGCGCAGACTTTGGCGACCCCGCGTGAGCGCCCTGGAGAAGTGGAGATTTAAAGGGACCGCGCCGCCCGGCCCGCTCAGTGATGTCACTATGCAGCTGTGGGGCTGGGCCACGCCCAGCTGGAGGGGCTGTGCCCATAGCAGCCCATCAGCGCCGCCTCTGTCCTGTGGGGCTGGGTATCCTGCGTGGGCCAGCCCTGCCCACAGCCCTATGGGGCATCCACTCCCATGCCTAGGCCTTAGATGCGGAAATGCCAGCAGCTCCCAGCTGGAAAGCCACAGGGCTATGCAGGGTGAGCAGGCAGCAAGTGTGAAAAATCAGGACAGGGGATGGGGGTAGTAAGTGCTCATATAAGACAAAGCCCCAGCTATCGGGACTGTCCCTATAAAACAGGGACATCTGGTCACCCCACACGTATGGTTTGTCCCAGCTCTTTCCCTCCCCAGGCAGAAAGAAGTGGGGGTGCAATGGAGTGTTTTCATAGAATCACAAGGGTAGGCCTGGACGGGACCTCACAAGGTCATCCAGTCCCCTCCCCTGGGCTCACAGCAGGACTGAGTAATAATTAGACCATCCCTAAGGCATCTAACCTGTTCTTAAAAACCTCCACTGCTGGAGATTCCACAATCTCCCTGTAGGCAATTTGTCCTAATGTCCAACCTAAACCACGCTTGCTGCAATTTAAGACTATTGCTTCTTGTCTCAGAGGTTAAGAACAATTTTTCACTCTCCTCCTTGTAACAACCTTTTACGTACTTGAAAACTTATGTCCCCCCTCTGTCTTCTTTTCTTCAGATTAAACAAATCAATTTTTTCATTCTTTCCTCATAGGTCATGTTTTCTAGACCTTTAATCATTTAATCTAGTCTCCTCTGGGCTTTCTCCAATTTGTCCACATCTTTCCTGAAATGTGGTACCCAAAACTCGACATGATACTCCATCTGAGGCCTTATCAGCATGGAATAGAGTAGAAGAATTACTTCTCATGTCCTGCTGGTTTTTTTTTAATTTTGTACATGCTACTCTGCATCTGTTAGCAGAGGCAGGTCAAAGTGTGCATGGTGTAACCCCTTGGTGAGTGTGTGTTTTTCAGGTTCCCCTCTGTGCCTGTCTACAGCAGATATGAGTTGTTACAGTCCCCAGCTACAGTAGCTGAAGGTGTAACAGCTGATGTTTTTAGCTCTGGAGTTCTCCAGTTTAATCCCCAGTGTATTGGCCAAGAGGGGGGCTGGCACCCTGGAGTCACAGGTGCTGGAACTAGGGTGCTGCCACACTCCCTGGCTTCAAGTGGTTTCCATCATATACAGGGCTTATCGTTTGGATCAATGGCTCTCAACACTCCCACTATACAAATAGTTCCAGCGCCTCTGCCTGGAGTTTGCTGCAAAGGATGGGGTGGTTTGCAGTGGTGCTTAATCCTGGGTGAGCTCCTTACATATGTTCATATTGGCCCCTGTAATGGTAGGCAGTCAGCCCAGGAGTGTCCCATGCCAGTCCTGTGCAGAACTGCAGGCCCATCTCGGCCTCACTGTCCCTTAGTGTACTTTCACTGAAGTCCCCAAAAGCTTATATATGTATTGCCCTGTGCCCCTTCAGGTGTCTAGTTTATTGAATCCAATGGCAGAATGTGTTACACATGTAAACCTCCACCCGAAGGGGACCAAGTTAATTTTAGTCCATCCACGCTCCTTACCAGTGAGGCTCTCTTGACCCAGGACCCTTTACTGGAGTCTTTGCCTCCTGTCATCAAATATGAAAAGGTTTCTCATCTGGGTTCAAGGTTCCTGCAGAGTTCAAGCCATGGCAAGCCTTCTCCAGAATAACATATCATTCATTTGTGAGCTGGAATTCTTGCTACTACCTGGTGAAATCCTCTTGGGGGAACTAGGTTTTGTTAGGGCTTGGTATTCACAGGTCTTTCCTTCCAGATCCTCTTCCTGCTAGGAGTACTCTTCCTCTGTTTTCTTTCCTAGTGAATTCCCTCAACTGCTCCCCTAGGAAGCCCTTTTCTTAGGAACTTCCTCTCTCTTCTCTGTACCCTGTCTGAGCCTTCATAACCTTTATAAGGCCCAGGTGCTCCTTACCTAATTAACTGCTGCCCAGTTACTTAAGCAATTGACTCATTCTCTAAGTGGATTTGGGTTGGCTCATTCACCATAGCAAAGTTCGTCACCAGTAGACTGGGTGTCTGACTCCCTCAGGGGCCAGCCCCTCTGACAGTCCATGAGAAAGCTCTGTCTCCTGCATGGACAAGCTGCACCCTATGGTAGAACGTTTCATTGTACCTAAGGAATGGAGTTGTCAGTTGCAGTCTTCGTCCCTGAGTTCTAGGTGAGCTTTTAGATATGCTGGGGTCAGGCTATTTTGCACTTTGAGGCAAGAACTGAGAAATTGAACTTGACTCAGTATTCTATGGGAAGCTAGGGGAAAGAGGAAAGGACAGGCTTGATGTGCTTGCACGCCTGTATTACCGAGGAGTAGGGTGACCAGATGTCCCCATTTTATAGGGCCAGTCAAGATATTCAGGGCTTTTTCTCATTTAGGCACCTATCCTCTGTCCTGATTTTTCACACTTGCTATCTGGTCACCCTACTGAGGAGATACGCTTAGGGTTGCCAACCCTCCTGGTTTCGCCGGGAGTCTCCTGGAATCGGGCTTTATCTCCTGGAGGCTACTGAAGCCAAACTGGGAAATTTTAGGTGCTAAAAGTCCAGCAGCACAGCAGGGCTAAGGCAGGCTCCTTGCCTGCCCTGGCCCCACGTCGCTCACGGAAGTGGCCGGCACATCCCTGCAGCCCCTGGAGGAGGGGCAGGGGTCTCCGTGCACTGCCCGTGCCCCAAGCACCAACTCCGCAGTTCCCATTGGCCAGGAACTGCAGCCAATGGGAGCTGCGGGAGGGTGCCTGCAGGCTGGGGCAATGCGCAGAGTCCCCTGCCCCTCCCCCAGGGACATGCCAGCCATTGCCGGGAGCGGTGCGGGGCCAGGGACATCAGGGAGCGTACAATACCATACTTTACTGCTAGAGATAGGGGAAATATTTCAGCAAATAAACCATTTGCTGATAAATGCAGTTTCGGCCAACCCCAAGCTATTTGTGAACACATCACGTTTTGACCAAACCAAAAATCGAAATGGTTATTTAGACATCTGCACAATGCAACTAAAGCTACTGAGAAGTGTGTTGGGCCTGATCCTGGGAGGTGCCTGACTAGGGAGACCCCTTGGCATGGAAGGTGATGAGGGAAAAGGGCACAACCCCCTAGCTCTATGCTGGGGGAGATCACATGGCTCGACCCACTGAGTGGGAGGCAATAGGGGCTGGAGGGGATGGGAGACGTGGCACCCCACTGAGCTGGGGGAAGGGTTTGGTATGGGGATAGCCCAAGTGCCAGTGTCACCTGTAGTCTACCTGCCCTACCTCCATAGTTACATCAGATTCACAATGGACTATTCCAGCCACCAAGGCCACCAATTGGAACGTAGTCAAACAGCGCCTTACTTACTGAAAGCTGATTGGCCACTTCATCCCCAGCGTTGAAAGTTCCTTCTCGGATTGGCTACGCACTCCGGCTCCTGGTGCCTTCTGGGAGCGGTGGTTTCCACGCTCGCCTGCCGTGCAAGCCGCCCTCAGTCTAGAGACTACATGTTCCAGAAGTCTCCGTGACGGCAGTTGGTTTCCTGGGAGAGCCGGGCGGGCTTGTTTTCATCCGGGTACTCGGCTGCTTCCCGCGGCTCGTCCAATCTGCGCGTTCGATGGGGACGACGGCCCGCGGTGATTGGTGCGTTTGGACTAGGGACCGTTGTTCAAAAATTGTTAACGGCGGAGCTAAGCGGCGTAGGGGAGACCGTCGAGCAGAACGAGGCTGGGGTTGGCGGTAACGGTGGTAAGTGGGTTTCGGCTCCTGAGCAACGGGGGCCCTTGGCCCCCCCCCCCCCCCGCGGGCTCGGGTTTTTCCCGCCCGTCTCCTTCCCCGGCTGGGGTCTCCGCCTGGGGCGGGCGGCATTAGTGGGTCCCCGGAGCGGGCCCCTCTCCCTAGGTTGTGCCTGGGGCGGGGCCGAGCAGCCGCCGGGCGAGCTCGGTGCCTGTTGCTAAGAGGGCGGGCGGGGGGTCCAAGGGTTTGCTCCAGGCCCGTCTCCCTGACCCGACTCAGCTGCCACGTTTGCCGAAGTTTTCACTGACTCAAAATGGGGGACGTGTGTTGGGGGGGCGGGGGGGTTAATAGTCATAGGAGGGGAGGTGTGGCTGCAGGTTTTGCATCTGTTGTGGCGGGGTGTGGTGGGGGGGGGGGGGGGGGGGGCTGGCTTCTGGTGGGGTTTGGGGGTGGGGTGCTTTGAAGGTCAGAGCAAGGGTTTGGGGAAAGGTTTCTTGATGGGGAGCCCTTCCTGAATGTCCTGTCGTTATTTGATAGGCTGTAGGATGGGTTTTAGTGTGGGGTGGGAGGTGACAAGCAGGGGCGTGTGATCGGTGGGTTTTTGCTGTATTGAAGCAGGTTCTTTCAGGGAGTCGTGGTAGCCTGTTTTATGATGCTATCTACTTCTTGGGTGGAATATCCTTGTTTGGAGAAGGCAGTTTTAAGTATATTAAGGTGTATATCCCAGACCGTATTCTGTGGCACTCAGGTGCCATTGCAAACAAAACATAAACACACAAACACTTAACATTGGGTTAAAGAGTATATTGGAGAATGGGCTAGTGCAAGAAGTTCCAAAGTAACTGAAATGTCAAATTTGGCATCAGAGAGCTGGATTCCTTTAGCTATTAAGAACAAACACTTTCCATCTTGGTTATCATGCTATTGTGTAATTTCTTGTTGTTACAACATAGGCACATTTAAAAAGAGAATTTCAAAAGTCATTTTTGAAATAATGTTGTCAAAATCAACACATTGAATATTTCTAGGTTTCAGAGTAGCAGCCGTGTTAGTCTGTCTCTACGCAAAAGAATAAATGGATGCAAATCTGACATCAGGAATCATAACATTCAAAAACCAGTAGAACACTTCAACCTCTCTGGCCATTCAATAACAGACCTAAAGGTGGCAATTTTGCAACAGAAAAGCTTCAAAAAACTAGATACAATCAATTTAGGCTTGAATAGAGACTGGGAATGGCTGAGCCATTACAAACATTGAATCTATTTCCCCATGTTAAGTATTCTCACACCTCTTGTCCTACCAACTCTAAGAGACTAATTAAGTAAGAGGAAAAAACTTTTGTAGTGATAATCAAGATAGCCCATTACAGACAGTTGGACAACTCCCACCTTTTCATGCTCTCTGTATGTGTGTGTATATATATATCTCCTCACTATATGTTCCATTCTGTGCATCCGATGAAGTGGGCTGTAGCCCATGAAAGCTTATGCTCAAATAAATTTGTTAGTCTCTACTAAGGTGCCACAAGTACTCCTGTTCTTTTTGTGAATATTTCTATTTCAACAAATTGATGTTTTTCCAATGGAAAAATATTTTCTTGGAAAACTTTCAACCAGCTCTACTCCTGAGTTAGATTATAGTATTCTTAAACTCCTTTAGAAGGGTAATTTAAACCAAAGATTTTAGACAGAAATGTGATTTACCAGCTGTTAGAACCAACACCTAAGACTAGGGGAATATTTCTTCTTTTCCAGTCTTAGTTTGCAGAATGCTGTTGTGCACATGTATTATGGCTTTCACACAAAAGGGGGAAAGACTTTTTTGAAAATAGGAATGTGTACTTTAAAAAAAAAATGGTATGGGTACCCAGGGGCTTGTGTGGTATCAGAAGCTATTTATAACTCACTAGTAGAAATCTTCTAGATGTAACGTTTGGTGTTTTCTAGCTAGTCTTGATGGCTGGACTTGTCTCTTCTGAGCATCAATGCTGATGTCAACACAGTATTGTTCTTGGGATACCACAGGACTCTAAAGTAGTGTTTAATTGGTGGTCATAGAGCACTTGGCATTCTCTTTTGGCGAGAACTCGCAAAGGAAGGTCTAGTGCAGAGGTTCTCAAACTGTTGTCTGTGGACCACTCTCCATTCAGGTGGTCCACAGATAGTTCCTTTAAGATGCGCACCTGGGCGGCCGCACACAAGAGAATAAAGGGCCACCCACCTAATTCATTAGGTGCCTGGACCCTGGAGAAGATGCACATGTCATGTGAACTGGGGGGAGAATAGGGGGTAGGTGGGAGGGGGCAGTGGGGTGAGAAGAGGGGGAGGGGAGAATTTAGGGTGTGCAGGGCTGTGGCCAGAAAAAGAGGCAACTTTCCCCAGCTCCAGGGCTGCGGCTGCTGGGGCAAGATGGCCCTCCTCTTCCCAGCCTCAGCTCTGTGGCTGCTGCGGTGGGGGAGAGACTCCCTCCTCTTCCCAGCCTCAGCTCTGGGGCTGCTGTGGCGAGGGAGAGGGCACAGCCATTGCGTTAGAAAGGTAAGACTACTGATCTTAAAATGAGTTGTGTGCTTTTATTTGTAGAAAAAACAAAATTTATTAAGGTTGTCTTTTTATATATAGCACTTTTATCTAAAGCGCTTTACAAAAGTTAGCTAATGGTACAAACATTTGGAAAGGTCATTAAGTAGTCCCCTGAGACCCTCAGCAATTTTCAAGTGGCCTGCGGAGAAAAAAAAAGTTTGAGAACCACTGGTCGAGTGGAACTGCAGTAGCAGCTCTGCCATAGAATTCCTGGATGGCATTGAACCCCTCAGTGCCAATTGGCAAAGGGTTCACTGTTGTGTCAGCAACTTCTATGGGGCCTGTCAAACTCACTACACCTAACGCATTGCTGTCCTAGTATTCATATGTAAAGAATGTTGTCACTATCCGTGAAAACTTGTGATACACTGATTATTAGTATCATTGTGATGTGTATGTATTAACACTATGAGGTATTATGTATACCTCCTATATTATGCTTTAAAGTCTAATCAGTCAAAGGGAGAAACCAGTTTCTTCCAGACCAGAGGGAAGGGTAGTTATCTCTCTGTTATACGTAGGGCCCCACCTAATTCATGGCCATGAAAAACATGTCACACACCGTGAAATCTGGTCTTTTGTGTACTTTTACCTTATACTATACAGGAGGCCAGTGTTTCTCAAACTGGAAGTCCTGACCCAAAAGGAGGTCGGGTGAGGGTTTCAGGGTTATTGTAGGGGGTTGTGGTATTGCCACCCTTACTTCTGCGCTGTCTTCAAAGCTGGGTGGCCAGAAAGCAGCGGCTTCTGGCCAGATACCCAGCTCTGAAGGCAGCACTGCCAGCAACAGTGCAGAAGTATGCGTGGCCGGAGAGTGGCGGATGCTGGTCAAGGGCCCAGCTCTGGAGGCAGAAGCACTAAAGTAGAGGCAGCAATACAATACTATGCCATCCTTAATTCTGTGCTGCTGCTGGCGGTGGGGCTGCCTTCAGAGCTGGGTGGCCAGAGAGCAGCAGCAGCACAAAAGTAAGGGTGGCAATACCATGACCCCCCTACAATAACCTTGCGACCCCCTCCATTACCCCTTTTCTGGGATCAGGAACACTACAGTTACAACACCGTGAAAATTCAGATTTAAATATCTGAAATAATGAAATTTAGGATTTTTTTAAATTCTATGACTGTGAAATTGACCAAAATGGACTGTGAATTTGGTAGGGCCCTAGTCCTACATAAATTAAGCATTCTGAGCCAAATACAATGGAAGCTACATTTGCAGGTAAAGTAAACAGGAAAAACAAATTAACATGGGGATAAGAAAGCAACATGGTGCCAACATACTAGAGAACAAGCAGTAGGAATGCTTTTAATAGGCTTACTGTACTGTAATGGGATGCAAAGACAACACCCCGTGATCTGATTCACTGAGGAACACTGGCCATTTCCCTGGCAGAGAGGGGTGATTCTTGAAGAAATGGCTCATGCCTGGTTTGACTGAAAACCGGCATGCTCTGTAGAAGGAGTTTGAGGGGGAGAAACTGCTTTAAACAAGGATGGTAGCTTATTTTTTAGTTTCCAGAAACCATTTTATACTTCTGTTTTGTTTGTGTAACCAGTTCTGTTTCCGTTATCCTTATTCTGTATCACTTAAACTTATTCTTGTCTTATGTTAAATACACCTCAGTGCTGTGGTACTAAGCAAAGTGTGAAATTCAAGATGTAAGCTTCTAGCTCTCTGTATTACTCCTGAAGGAAGTCTGCGCCAAAAAACAAACAAACAATTATGTGCACAATGTTTTAAAATTGTCAATAAATAAATGTGGCTCCAGGATGGCAGTGGGGAGCACAGGCCACTGGCTGCATTGAGATAGGAGATCACCCTGAAGTCCCTACCTCCTCTGGTACAGGGACTGGGCAGTGAGGCTGCACCCAACCCTGACACAGTGCAGGAGCCGGGTCTACCCCATAAACGCCCTGGGGCCCTGCCCCTCTGCGCCAGGCACACAGGTGCTGGAACTAGGGATGTGGTGGGTGCTGCAGCACCCCTGGCTTGAAGGAGTTTCCATTATATACAGGGTTTACAGTTTGGTTCAATGACTCTCAGCACCCCCACTATAAAAATTGTTCCAGCACTACTGGCCAGGTGCACCAGGTGTGAGTGGGTAGGTTCAGCCCAGCAGGATCCAAATGTGGAGGGGCTTAGCATGGGGGGATCCAGATGAGGGGTGAGAGATTTCTGCATGGGGCATTCTGTGTGCAGGCAGCTCAGTGGGATATCTAGAGGCACAGGGGGTCATTTGGGGGGGGTGGTTCTGGGTGCAGGGGCAATGGGACTCTGCAGGGGATCTGGGTGAAGGTGGTTGGGGCTCAGCAGGGGGGTCTGGGTGTGGGGAGATGGGGCTTGGTGGGGGGACTCAGTGGGTGGGTCCAGATGTGGGGAGATGAAGCTCGGGGGGGGGTGCATGGAGGTGGGGCTTGGTGGGAGGGTCT